CAACCCAGGCCAGTAAAACTCCAAGAAAATATTTTCTCTCCACACTGGCAAGAAATACTGCTAACTACCGTTATTTTTTAATACAGTCTGATCAAACTGGAAGGTTTCAACATCTTCCCATCCTATTAAGCATCTGTGCTGGACAAACAACATGAAAAACTTGAGATTCCTAGCTGAGGAGCACACAAATCGGCAGCACCTCTCTAAGGCACCACTACTGGAAGCTAAGGACGGACTTACATTCCAGGGCCTGTTATCTTGGCCACCCCACTGACTGCCAAGAGTTCTGGGTAGGTGGAGCCTGAGCTGCAGACCTGTCTACGAGGATGTAGCCTACGAACAGCAAACCATCCTCCACAACAGCTGCTGAAGAGCTGGCACACTGTACTAATTTTTATTTAATTGCTGACTAGGACTAGACTGAACAATACGGATGTGAAATTCCTCTCGCTGATCATCTAGGATATCCTCATACATCTTAGGCAATTCCAACAATTATCAAAACCCACTGGGGGCTTCTGTGCGTTGGCTTTACGCAGCAAGTGACACCAGAACCACTAAAGCCTCTGCCATAAAATGAGGCTATACCTTCTGTGAAAATAATTTCTACAGCTTAGAAGTTTGCAGCTCAGTATCTTTTAAAAATGTACACACAACTTCATTTAGAAGCAACATACGACTGGTCAGGTAATTAAGACAAGGCCCATAGTGCAATTTGCAAATAATCAGTCTGCCTTTTTCTAAAATACATTCCCAGAACTCTGTGTTATACAGCGACTTTCACTCATGCATTCGCTGCCCCTGGTTTTGAAGCAAGGCTGTGGTTACTACCTGCTTATCACATCACTGAACTGACAACTTTCTGATGAAGGATCACAGGCAACTGATTTTGGACTGCTTACACTTCCAGCAGAAATGCTGTAATAGAATGTAACTGGAAGGATAAGATTCCTGTAATTCCTTGATGCTGTAACTGCCTACTAAATCTAATATTAAATGAATACATCATTGCAATGCAGTCGTTGTCCACCATAAACCTCTAAACTGTTGACGGGCCCGCCCCAAGCTAGGTAACATTGCTGTCCGGAAAACAGGCCTAGTGCTACTGTCACCTAGGTCCGTCTCATAGGAAGCTGGTTTTGCTCCAGCAGTGTTGATTTAAAGGTTATCCAGTCAGAGAGGCACAAAATGAGAATTCAGTTTAAAATTTCTCTTCCCCACTGAAGCTTGCGAAGTGCATCAGCAATTAACAATTCCTATCACTTCTCCCAGTTCGCCCGTGTGAAAAGGCTCAGAAGTCGTCTTACAAATTGCTCTTTTGAAGATCAAAGGGAAGCCGAATTTGTCTGTGTGCGCTCTGGATGAGTTTGTAATTTACTGGAACTTGCAGAGGAGGCTTGGCGGCGTGCTCGTTTGACAGCCCCAGGGTACAGGATTCAGGGGAGTTCTGTGACTCTTCCCTTCTGAGTTCCTTCCTTGCCTTTAATTGGCACCTCATTAGAAATTAATGAAAATGACATCCTCTGTTCTTCCTGCTCCAGGCACAGAACGCTACAAAAAGGCCCATCACAATTCATAACACATTCAATTTATATAGCAATGGCTCTTAAGCATTATTTATGAGATGTGAATTTCTTGTCAGCAGTTAATAACTTGTACGGAGCGGAAGCAGAAAGAAAAAAGGTTCTGAGACTATACATGTACATGTGTATGAAAATAAACAAATCTTTCTCTCGCTGAAAAACGTTGTGTTTGAATTTGAAGAACCCTTACTGGAACCCCCTTCTCAGTAGTGAATTGTTTTTCCTCGCGGCAGAGCCCTGCGGCACTGTCAGATCTGTCTAAAATGCCATGTAGCGGCAAGGGAACAAGCTCAGCAGCATCACCTCACTCTGGAGAGGTCTTATGGGAGACAGCAATACAGTAGTTTCCCAAACACCTATGGATTTGGTGTAAAGAAGCAGCCCACCCTCTCTGCCCCCTTCTAAAAGGTTGTGCCCCATTGGGCAAGGCCCAGTTAGGCAGGATTAACATCTCCAGGTATGTCTGCATTAAAACATTACCCAGTATGTCCAGATCTTCCTTTCCACTGTGTCTCACTAAAGATCTCTCTGGGAGAGTCACCAGGACACATAAGCAAGAGATGACTTCCAGTATTTTTAACACTGGGGCCAAAAGACATGTAACAGCAATCCATACAACTGCTGTTCTGTGGTGTCTTGAAGAGTTAATTTGTGAGGGGTTTCATGCACACCTTTGGAACAACATAATATTTATGTGATTAATCCTTTTTCCTTACATCCAAGCAAACACACATTTGTCCTTCTAAACATCGTACCTGCCCTCTTACGGATCCTGACTATTAAAATTTCTTTTAAAGTTCATGGGTTTTTTCCATGTTTTTTTCCCATTAGCTTCAGTTAAGGGTTAAGATGTCAAGAATTGAAGAGCAGTGGTCCAAAGTCCAGATCGAACAATGTTCTACCTTCAGCATTACTTCAGAGGAATAGATGTGCTTATTTCACCCCCGGTGATTGTATTTCCAACACTTCCAGTTAAACACGCATGGTTACCTGTACTTCTCGTGATGACAGAACGGATAACCTGACCACACATGGATTTAGAAAACATTTTAAATGAATGAGAATTTTAACCTCTCAATTCTGTCCCATTTCCCACCATCTCCCACCTGGGGTTTTTGATCTGCCTTGTCGTTCATGACCTAAAGCAACCCAGTTTTACAGGAAGCAGGGCAAAGTTGGTGAGAACAGTTTCCAAGGCAGCTTCTTTACAAATGACAAAAGCTACGTGCTGATGAGTACTGGTAAAGCAGTTTAGGTGACGTAAAGCTGTGTTGCTCAGTGGTAGGGGTTTGTTTGCTCCTTGTTAGCATTCCTATTACAAGTGAGTAGTGAGGGGTATGCCAACTTTCCCATCACAAAAGCATTTCATTGTAGGTGACACGCGTACTGTGTACGGTATCAATGGCACGTTATGGCTGCACAGCTAAACCAAAGATCTGCCGTCTTTCCAGACGTGTTAAAAACATGAAAATAGACTCGTGCCTCCCATTCTGTCATTAAATGAGTGGAATAGAAATCCTTATTATATATCCTGTAAACTATATGGGGAGGTAATACGTAATGCAGGAACGCAAATTTTCATTTCCTACTTATTGCTGAGGAACTCTGATTTTTTTTGTTTCATATTCATGTTTTAATAACATATTCTATGAACTTTAAGAGAATTATTTCCAGAAAGCTATATATATCCAGCAGAAACAGTTTAAAAAACAATTACTACAATATTTGTATTGCAGCAGTGTGGAGTTATGGAACTACTTCGAGAGAACTTGAGAAGAATCAAGTAGATGTATTTGTCATCCAGCTGACGGAAAAAAAAGGCAGGTCTTATTTTGTAACGTTAAAAACGTTACTCATTAGCAGAAGGACTTTTAAAAGTTTGCTTTCACCTTCATTGCTCTTCCATAGCTCTAATTTTGCAGAATGCAGGAAAGATTAATGACGTAACACAATCGCTAAGTCATCTCTTCTCCAATTCTCCCCAGACTTGTAAAAATCTCTTGCTCCCAACGTGAGGGAGGAACCTTCTGTTTCAGTCAGGTACCTGCCAGCAGCCTCAGTCATGTGCTACGTGACAGCAGCAGACAGAGAACAGACACTCCTGCCTCTACCGTGCTGAGCAGAAGGAGCCATACCCATCTGTGCCATCGGTGGTGCCCAACTTCTCCGGTTCTATGAAGATCCCGCTGGATACTTCCAAGTATCCAGACGCGCCATTTCCACAACAAGAATTTCAACATTACAGCTTCTGACTTCCCGTTTGGTGGCCTCACATTTAACGTAGGTTAGTTCTGCGGCAGAGCTCCAATATTTGAAGCAAAGCCTGTCTCCTGTCAGAGGGAGCACAGCCCAACAGTAACCTCTAACGGCTGCAGACAGACAGATGCTGAAGAAGAAAGGATAACATGGCATCTTTGCAGCTGTCTATCACTTCACTTGATATTTGGTATTCAATATAGAATTTAACTGGGTCTTTATGACTCGCTTAGCCAATCCTTTCTCTCCCCACTGCTGCTCAGAAGGACATGCCTCTACCCAGAGAAGATGGGAATCGCACCTGCCATCTACGCAAATATATTGTGAATTATCCCCCTTCTGAGACACAATGAAGCAACTAAACAAGCTTCTCCAAATGTACCAACACAAGCATGGCCAGAGAGTGCAAGTGTAAGCTTTCAGGACATGATTAGATGAAAAAATAATTAGCAGGTAAAACTACCACGTGCATTATCACTGGGTCTGGTGAGCACAGTTATGAACACAATCGTTCCACGACGGAGAGAGCATCTCCTCTGCAACCCAGTCACATCCATTATTATTTCAGAAAGATTATTTGCATGTCATATGAAACCCCAAATTAACTGTCTGCATGAGATTATCACCCTCAATTCAATTAGCTGAACAAGGTCATCAACTTCAGAAAAGCCAGGTTAGATGATTTTCAGTGTATGGTGAAGAACAAGTTTCCCCCCACCCCCCCCAACAGCTAACTGTGAGGATGAAAACATTTTCAGTTAGAGGGGTTTTTTTTTGTTTTAACTTTTGAATAATAATGTAATTATAAGATGCAGAATGTAGATGCTGACCTATGTTCCTCTAAGCTCTGTAAAAACTTTGTCATCTTTGCAGACTTACTGACGTGCTTTGTGTTTCTTCCCCTGTCAAGTGGGTATGATACTCTCTCGCCTTACAGGGATTTCCGAAGCTAAATTCATTAACATCTGCGATCTCTTGAGACAAGGCAGTACATGAAGGCCAAAGTTTTAAAGGGGAAATTAGACAGGAACTAATTACAACTTTTTGCTACCAGTGGAAGCTGCAGCTTCTTTGAAAGATACAAAATGCAAGTGTTCTCTGTATTTCCACCTCTGACTCTGATCCGAGCACGGCTGCATTAGAAACCCAGACAGTACTCACCACAGCGACACGATCCCAGTTCCTGCTGTACTAGCTCCAGTTTTGTTTGGCACTGGAAGCATCGGCGTCTACTCTTCTGTTTGGATCGACTGGTTTCTTCAGGCCTGTCATTACTGTCATCCAGTAGCCGTGGCTGTTTCACAGGAGAAGCCTCACTCTCCGACTGTGAATCTGTTGTATTCACAACAAATATTTTAGGAAATATATTAGAACTTCCTTTCTGAGGCATCCCTTTGGGCAGATTGAAGGCATATTGCTTTCAGCTGGGGTCACCACCAAGCAGTGGGATACTTCCCATTCTATTACATACACACATTTTCTTAACAATCAAAACAAGCATCAAGTAAAGGACAAATTATCTCTGGTCCCTGTAAGAACCCCTCCTGCTGGCAGTACTGAACAGAAAAGGAACCGATCGGCTTCCTTGCAGCCGTGGCTGGGTCACAGGCAGATACACGCAGAGTACATGCCATCCCAAAAAACCGCAGGCTTCATCTGTCACTTCATTTAGTTTCTCCTGTGTGCCGCCCCCGATCCCCCCGCACAAACTCACCCAAGTAGGCTGCTGATGAAAACCACCAAACGCGGGTTCGACCTATTTCCTCCCTGGGCAGGAGGAAGATTTTTAAGGCACAGCATGTAAACTATCTCTCTTATGACTGAAGGCGGTACATGAAAGCACCATGCCGTGCTTCCCTCTCTTTCCACATGGATAACAATTTAAATGTAAATTAGTACACACCAACAACGCAAACCCAAACAAAATAAGCCTAACTTGTACATGCATGCTATAAATACAAAAGTGCTCAGCCATTTTAAATGAATTAGAATACTATTTGCATTAATAACTTCATAAATTTCAGCTTATAAGAAACTAAGTGTGTGGAAAACCTTAAAAAGTTAAAGTTTGGGAAAGTGTTACTTCAGGTAGCGTGGTGCCTCTCTTCCCCCTTTTCCAATGGAGGGCATTTTGACCAGGGCTCTAGAGTAGCACGTGAAAGGCACACAGCTGACTGCAACACGGGATGCCCAAACCTTACTTTTGTGGCATGTCAGTGGATTTCAGCAGATTTGCTGCTCTGCAGTCTGAGTCAGATCAGGTTAGAAAAAAGGCATTTTCCCTTCTCAACCGTGCGCATAGCTGAATCAGTTCTGTATTTCTTTTTAATAGAAGCTGCAAATAAATTTAATCTGAACTGTACTAAAAATTAAATTGTTTGTGGTAGCACTGCAAGGAGACCAACTGCTGAAAGCTATTACTGCAGTCAGCCACCCTTCTAGTGCAAGACGGTGATCAATAAAAAAGCATTAGTTCAGTTAAATCTGTTCTGAAATGACATTAATCCAACAAATAACCAGACAGCTGTATCTTACTGGCAGGGCTGTAGCCTACTGAACATCTTTTTACCTTTAAGTTCCCATCGCACGGTGTCCTGCGCTTACAGAAAACATGTCTACTTTGTGTGAGCTGTCCTGGTTTGTCCAGGAAAAGATAACCACTGTGGCTAAAACACTGTCCGTATCCTTGCTGTTTCAATGATCCACTGCTTATCCACACCATGCCTTTCCTTGACCAGACACCTAATGAAGTCAGAGTAGGAATACTGGCTAGCCCTTCCCTCCTGGATATGCTCCATTAACGTTCTGTGGTTCCTCACATGCTGTATAAACTAAATGACTTCTCTTGGCTGTGTTTCACACCTTGCCTCACAGTGGTTTTCCAGTTGCTGGACTCCAGTATTATGGCCATTGCAAACATACAACTTGCCTCTCTTGGGTCTACTTCATGTGTGTCGTACTGCTCTTAAGATGTACTCAAAGTGTTCCTGGCTTTACAGTAAGTCCCCACATTTGCAGTTAGTACAGAGTCTCCACAGCTCACAGAAAAGCGAGCTGCTTTCTGCACAGCATACAGGTAATCAGTTTTTATTAAGCTGCAATAGTTTTATCTGATGTGTGCCTCAATACAGCCTTCTTTGTGATCAATGTCCTCGATTACAGCTTATACGTAACAAAATCCATCTATTAGGCCTAAACCAACTTTCAGTACGTAACGTATTCCACCTCCACACGCCTGGCTGTGCAGGAACCTTGACAAGGAGTAGTGCAGAGTGAATTCATACAGTTACGGAACAACTCGTCCTGTCTTCAATTAAATCTCTGCAGAAGATGACCCAAGGCCCTCTGAACCATCTGCAGAGATCCCGACTCAAACTGGAAGGCAACAGTCCTACCACAGGGACACTTGGTTTGAGGGTGCGCAGAGGCAGAGGCTGGCCTGCAGTGCAGCAGGGTGCACCCTTCAGCAGGTGGCTGTGCCTACTGTAACCTGCCGGACCCAGGGTTCGGCCGAAATCTGTTCTAGCACACTCTGTGGACCAAGATGGGGAACCACACCATTTGTCATCTACTCATCACTCAGAAACAGAGACGCTGCTATTTTGAAGTGGCTGCCTCCCACACATCTTTGCTTCTGGAAGCGTAAGCCATCCTGGTGCTTCTCAGAAGCAAATTTGGCATTCTGAACAGAGCCGATGGAAACCATCGCGGTCTGCTTGTAATAAAGTCCAGACAAGGCACTAGTGTATGAGTCAACCAGTGTCTAATCAGTTAATGAAGCCATGTGCCTCATGAGAAAAATAGCTACCCTGAATCAGGCTAGTAGTCCTATAATTAAAATATTTAATTATACATTTCCTGTTAATTGGTAATGACTAATTGAATATTAGCATACGATGGTTAATATGATAGAAATGAAAATTTAGGTATCTAATTTTTTTAACTGCCTATCTTTTTGCCATAAATCAAACACTGAACGCTGAGACAAACTCCGCCTGACTCTCGGGGACAGCACCAGCTACCCAGTCACCGGTCGCACAGCGCCCTGAAGGTGTGAGCACACGCTAACGCTCATTACGAAACGGACCAACAGCACACATGCTCGCGTCTTTCTAGGGGCAAGTACAAGGAGCAAGGAGAAAGCACAGATAAGAAATCAGAACTTTTAGATTTGGTCCCACGTGCATTTGGTCCAGATCACATTGCCTTCTGCAATACTGACGCAAGCAAAACCGGACACAAAAATAAATCTTCCAGCACCTGGAATCCAGCGACATTAAACTTTAGAGATCTGACAGCAAAAGGAAATTGCCATGTATAGCGTTACTGCCTGGACTGTAGGAAAAAACTACCGCATGGACAGGGCAAAGTGCTGCAACCAGAGTCAAGGGTAAATTCTTTCTCAGTGTGAACTACTGAACCATCAGAAATGGCGACAGAGAAGAGGATTCTCTCAGTCAGCGACTGACAGCAGCTTTCCTTAGAAGGATGATTTGTGCAACAAGAATTACTTCTTGCTTTGAAGAAACATTTTCCACACTCAACTTGCATTTTAGCATTACACCTAAACCAACAAATACTCTGAGACAGAAAAATAAGAGAAAATAACGCTCTTCTCTTACCTACAGATGTCCAAATCATAAAACTTATGTAAAAATGAAGAAAAGCAACAACAGAGATGAGACATCTCCAAAATTTCACAAAGGCATTGCTCAGAGTAATGCTGCCATTGTCACTCTCCCATTGCAATTTTAATTCAGATTTAAGAAATTAGAATTCTTCTAATCTGCATCCGAGGATGGAAAATACTCTAATTGTGGTGATTCTGTCCAACTTCCACGTGAAACGAGAGAATGAAGTAATTCAGCCGAGCAGGATTTGAAGTGGAGGCTTGACTGGAAACAACAAGCATAGCTGTGTTCTTAAGTCTGTTACGTCTTGGAGAGAAACTCACGCTGTCACTGTTCTTGTCTTCATTACTCATGTTCTCCCCTCAAAATTTTCAAATGAATAGCTTTGTGACTGTCACACCTGAATCCCAATCTCTTACTCTCCTGCCGTGGGGGTTTGCAGCCTTCACTAACAGTCACGCTGGCTCTTTCATGGCATTTTGGGGAGAGGGTGGGGAGCTCTAAGCCCAGCAGAGACGTGTGCTGAGAAGGCCTAACAGGGAAGGAGGAAGAAAGGAAGGAAGGAAGAGATGGGAGAGTAGGAAGAGAAAGAGAAACCCTCCTCTGCTGCTGCTGGCTTCCAGAATGAGATGAATCTGCCGAATCCCTGGTTCGATGACAGCTTTTGAGGCAGTCAGGATTTTTTTCTTTCCATAAAGAAACCATCACACTGACAGACTGACATTTACGATCTCAGCTGGCTGTGCTAACAGCAGTAAGAGCAATAATTAATGAACCCTCAAACATCACTGCCATCGCCTCTGAAACTATTTTAAAAGGAACTTGAGCTGTTAAAACCTCTCTCCATGAAGAAACTTGCAGTCACAGACATTAACTACATAGCAGAGATTAACTAAAGTTTGAGCAATACCTTGTTGGCAGTGTCTAGGTGGTTTTTCTTTTGCCTTCATTATTCCATTTTTAGATGAGGGATTACTTAATTCCCTGGCATGTTGACTATGCATTATAAATTTCATGTAGGGGAAACTGCCTCTTTATGAATCTTTTCTATCACATTTATCAGAATCATCATTTAAAATCACCTCCTCTACTTCAAATGAACCTAAAATTAACAGTTATCCCAAAACCCATTTCATTTGTTGACTATTAACAAAGAGACAAATTCAAGATTAACATCATCTGGGCCAAGTTGGAGAGCTGCGATCACCTCAGTTCCACCCTGTTGCTGTAGAACGCTGTGGAAACAGTTATTCTGAAACTGGTATTTACACTGAGATGAACATCTCATCCCCTCACCCAATCAAGACTGCACCTCAAAGCTGCATCAGGCACCGAAGCACACAATTCTTTGGAAGCGCTCATGAATTCACCTCAGTTTTTCTTAAAACACTACAGACAGATGGCTCAAATTCTTACATAAACCCTTCAGTACATTTAGCCACGCAATCTCTTTTTCCAGTATCACTGCAGTGCCCTTAGCATCACCATTTCACGATGTATTCCCTCCCACCCACGGAGTTTAAGAGCGATTGTACTACAACTCGTCTGTATACAATGTGGAGTAGGGAGACTGCTTAGGAATGGTCCCTGTAGAACTCCAGTCCTGTCAGCCATATCTTTTCCTCGGAGGCTCCCTGTGAAAACACTCTGGAAACTGTAAGTAACCCTAGAAGTTGCATTGAAGGTATTACTTATCATCAA